GATAGCAGAGCGTGATGGTGAGCTCGTTTTGCTAATGGCAGGGTGGCAGAGGCTAAGAGCTTAACAGCAGCCAAACATAGTCGGCTGAGCAACGGAGATGGTAGAAACACAAAACCAGAGGAGAACAATCTTTCCGCTGTGTATGGGAATTAAATAGACTGATGGCAGGGAGTAGGGGTTTCACCAACTAATCGACTAGTCGACTAGTCGACTACCTTTACTACTAGTCGGCGCTGTAGGCCCTAGTCGACTAGTCGTGAAAAAAATGGAGGTAAACGAGGTGCTGCAAAATGCTACAAAACACGTCCGACATTCTTATGTATGGCAGTACTTCAACGAAGATGTAACCAACTCCACAGTGAAGTGTCAGTTGTGTACAGCTGTACTGAAGTACAATACAAATGCATCTGCTATGCGCAACCATCTGAAGATGAGACACCCGCTGCCGACAGCTAGCACTAGCAGTAATGCTAGCACCAGTGAGCAACGGACCGGCGTCGGCACTGAACTGAGGCAAACGAACAGACAAGAAAACCACGGGTACAACAGTGATGCGGATGATGAGCGTACGGGATTACTGCCAGCGGACACCGCATATCCCCACAATGGATAATCCACTGGAGTGGTGGGCAGAAAACGTGCACCGCTTCCCCCGCTTTCGAGGAGCTACCTGGCTATTCCAGCCAAGCACCCCGAGTGAGAGGGTTTTTTCCCTGGCAGGCAACACTGTCACCCGAAAGCGGTCAAGCCTCCTTCCCTCACATGTCGATGCGTTGGTGTTCAAACCAAACCAAAAATATGGAAAGGTGGACGTTATCGTGGAGGACAGCGAATAAAGTGTTGCGCACTGGATTTACGTGGCATTTATGTAAACAAGAGTTTTTTGCTGTCGATTTTGGTGAGTCCAGTTACTGTTTGTTATTTACTCAGCCATGTAATACAAATTAAAATGCAGTGTTTAATGTTACTGTATGAATTCCAATATAAAATAGTTGTACACCTCTCTTTGTGTGTCTTTATTATGACGTAACGACTAGTCGACTACTATTTTGAAAAATGTGTCGACTAGTAAATATTGGTAGTTGTGAAACCCCTAGTTTGTACCACTGCAATAGTGAGGGTTATTTTGTTTAGTTATGTATATACCTTTGTATGTAAGTAGGCTCACTTATACACAAACACTCACACACAGTTTAAAGCATACCTTTCTTGGCGGTGTCTTCTACTCCCATCAGGTCATCTTTGTCTGCAACCTCCTCATACTGCACACAGGACAGAGACACGTTATTGACCATGTAAACTGAGAGAGCAACAACACTGATAGAAATGCAGAGCTCCTACTGCCTCTGCTGATACAACATCCCTGTCAGACAAAATCATCTCTTCATTTCAATTGACAAAAGCCCAATGCTTCTTTATTACTAGTCCAAAATGAATCCAAAGTGTATCAAAATTGCAATATGGACTAGAGCCATATAGTGCAGTATTGGTGAGCTGCAGAGATATTCTGATCTCCAAGTCATATTCCTCATACTCAACAAAACAGATTGAGTCTGTTTGCCAGCTCATAGGGTCCTTTTGGAAACCTGGAAATGTTGAGGACCCCAAAGCTTTATGTAGACATTTACAGTACGGGTCCCCAGCACATAAAAACTACCGGATGCTTACCTGCATATGTTGGGCAATTTGCACAATCAGCATAAATTGTGTTAATTAGCATTAATTCGCATATACAGACAATAGTGGGGGAAAAAGGCTCGGCCATTTGGACCCATTTTGAGTGGTTTTGGGGGTTATTGAGGATCTTGAAACAATTCCTGCCATTGCCAGAAATGGCAGTTTAACCACAAAGTGGCCATATTTGTTCTCCTGGTTGGCTGATTTCAATGAATGTTTTGGTTGATTGTAAAGTTTTAGGGGACTCAAAAGTGCCATTTTCGAAAACTCAATATACCTAAAAAACCACTCCAGAATTGGCAAAATCGTCCAAGCCATTTTTTAGCTTTTCTCCTGCCAACTAATGCAACTTATGCCAATTACGCAAATTTCCCAAAATATACAAGTAGGCATTAGTCTTGTGCTGGGGACACGTACTATACATTTATATCCCAACACTTTGGTGTACTCAACACTTCCAGGTATACTGGCAATAGAGTATATTTGTTTGGCACATACTGCATGTCCTGTGTGGAGCCACTGACCTGCACTTTGAGCAGCCGGCCGCTGTACGACTTGAAGTAGCTGTAGTAAATCTTACTCATCGTGTCCACATACTCATCTCTGATCTCCTTAGCAACTGTTCTCTCATTGGCCAAGAGGAACTGATAGAAAAATCTACAGCGAGAAGAGTTAAAGAGCCGAAGTTTAAATGTTCACTCATTTATAGCATCTTTAAAACATACAGTACAGTGTGCTTGAATTCAATCAAAATTACTATTAAAAATGACTTAATTTTCTATACTTACTTGTAATTATTATGCTGGACTTTTCATGTTTGTTTTTCTACACAATAAAACCTCCAATAAAGAACTTAAATGGAGAAGAAGATTGATATATTCCTAAGTGGTATGAAGTGTCTTGCTCTCACCTGTACTTGAGCAGAGTGTTCTGGGGGATCTGGTAGTTTGTCATTGGCTTCCTGAAGGAGTAAATCTTCTGGAGGATGAACTCTCGGATCTTTGACACCGCCTGAAGTGAGGAAGGAAGATAGTTTCACGTCAGCAACAAAGTCATTTAAAAGGATAACATTTGTTATACTTTGATTTATTTAACATAGAACCGTTTACCTTTCTACTCTACCAGTTAGAGTTCACAGTACATATGAAGAGGGCAGACAAATACTAAGACACTGTTTACATCCTAGATGTGTGTAACAATCCCATTTTTCCAAATATGTATCCACCCTCTTCTTTTGGAGAGTTAAAGTGATTTGCTCCATTCAGCAAAGAAAATTAATCTGTGAATATTTTATTCATCATCTAAGGGCTTAAAAGGTCCCATGTCATGCTTTTCCGGTTATATATACACAGGAGCACCAACAAGCCGCGTAGGACAGAGAGTGAATACAGTGTTTCCCCTAGGATGGAGTCATAGCAGCGGTGCTAAGGCACGTGGGCTCAGCATAATGTGAGCGCGGAGCGCGTGGAATTTTTTAGTGTGTGCGCGTGCGAAGTGCACCCCGCCAATTTGTTTCTATGTGTCAGCACAAGAAAGGCTCTTGAGGCCTAGTACCAGGGCCGGTTCTAGACAATTTGCTGCCCTAGGTGAGATTTTTGGCGACATTTTATATGTAAAGAATAAATGAAAAATCTCTACAAAAGACAAATACACTGCAAAAACAGAAACTTATTAACATAGGTAATAGACGTCAAAATGGCTTCAAATGTATTCAGTATTGTATGAACATGTTTGAATTGGGGGGTGGACGTCACATCCTCTAGGGGGGTCCGGGGCAATGTCTCAAGATTTAGCAAAAATACACCTTTATTGAACATACAGTAACACAAATACTACAAATCCACATAACAAACAATCAAAAATGAAAAAGGGTCGCCACTTATTATTATTTTAAGAAAAAAAAAAAAACTTTTTTTTTTTTTGGTACCTGGCTAGTGCCCCCTAGCAGCGGCGCTCATATTTCAGCAGCGGCGCTGC